TTCTTCCAACACGTCAAGCGCTTCCTGCGATGGCTCGGCCCAGCGTCACCCGAAGCCACAGAAGACACCGACACCGACGAAGCAGAATCCGAGAAGGACGACCACGGGTCAAGCCACAGCTCCGAGAAGGAGGACTCCGACGAAGCCGCCGCCCCCAGAACCCAAGAGGACACACGCCAAACAAGGAGCCGGCCGCAACGCCACAAGTGGGCACCGCCCTTCCACGTGCAGGACTACGTGGTAAGGGTGGAATGGCAGAAAAGAGGTTACCCTCACGTGCACATACTCCTCTGGACACGAGAAAAGGTCCAGCCCAGCCTTCCGCCGACAGAGCTCTCAGCAGACGACGCGGAGCACCTCACCGACGACGAGGTCGCACGCAAGATCCAGCCACGCACCGTAGAAGACCTCACGGACAAGTTCATCTGCACCACGACCCCGGAACGCTGGAAAAACGTGCACCTGCGACGCAGGCCGGACCGAGCCGACTACAAGTGCCTCAGCAGCCTGGCAAGCCTCCAAGCGCACCACTGCAACCAGTACTGCCGACGACATGCAGGCAACCTCCAGTACTGCAGATTCGGCTATCCTCATGCACCGGAGCCGAGAGCACGAACACGCACCGCCAAGGAGCAGTGGACTCGACGCGTGAAATCCAGCATCGCCGTCCGACGGCATCCGGGCACGAAGCAACAACCCGACCCCCTCAACGGCACCGGAACACTCATGGGACAGTACAACAAAAACATACTCCTGGAATGGCAAAGCAGCACAGACCTGCAGCCCATATGCGAACTCAGCATGGCCTCGCGCTACATTCTCGGCTACACCTTCAAATCCGAAGAAGACCACGTCGCCGCCAGAAGAGTCGAGCGCCTCCTGGAACAGTTCACCCAGAAGGAAGGGCCCTTCCATCAGACGACCTACAGAATTGCACACGCCGCAACACAGGCCCGAACAGCTTCCACCTTCGAGGCCTGCCACCTCTTGCTGGGCTACCCCGTAGTGCTCTTCTCCCGCAACCACATCTGGATCCAAGTCGGCCGTCCCCAGACGTGGACGCTCTGGGTTCGACCCCAGGACGTGAGGCTGGCAATAGCAAACCCCAACGCGTACGCCAACCAGCACGCAAGCGAACTTCCCGCCGCCCAACAAAGATACACCAACATCCAAAACACCACCCCAGACACCATCACGGACATCCCCGTGGAAGGAAACGATGGAGCCATGGTACAGCGACCCTGGAAAGAGATCAGCTTCTTCGATTACTGTGCGGGCTTCCAGCACAGACAAACGCGTGGTGCCACTACATGCCCACTGCCGAGGACTAGACCAGCCATCGTAGGACACCGGCAGTTCAGCCCGGACACCGACACCGAGGACTACTACTTCTCAAAGCTCCTACTCCACCACGTCTGGAAAACACCAGGCGACTGGCTGAAGCCCGAAGATCGAGGAAGCCACACCAGAGCATTCACGCGTATCGTTTCGGACAGCCAAGCCTACCCGGACTTCATGAACTCCATTTGCTACCCAAAGCTCGACAACACCATCGGAGCAGCGCGAGAAATCCAACGTGTGCAGGCGACCATGTACCTGAAAGCGAGCATCCGATCAAGCCTGCGAGGCTGGACGCTGAGCAGATTCGACCAGGAAAAGTACAAAGACTCTATCAAAATCATGCAATGCCTCCGCAATCGACACGGACGAGATTTCGATTTCGACGCACCGGACAACGTACCTTCGGGCATGGCAAGCGACGTCTTCGCCCCAGTGGAAGCCGGCGAGGACAGGGTCCGTTTGCGCACCGCCATCGCCCCTGTAAAAGCTACACAGACGACAACATTTCCCCCATCCACCCTCCCCGCCCCTCCCTCCCCCCCCCCCCGCCCCCCCTGTCCTCCCTACCAGGAATGTTTCGAACTCCTGCAAACAGACACCGACAACAAGCAGATCGAGTACCAGAGAACTGTCATGGACTACATCATCTCCTTCGTCTTGGAAGCGCCAAAGACCACACCCAAATCCAATGAACAGCTGAGGCTAATCGTGCACGGACCGGGCGGCAGCGGCAAATCCGTCATCCTCCGCGCAGTAGCGCACAAACTGCGGCAAGCAGGTGTCGGCGTGGTCATCACGGCCCCAACAGGCGTGGCGGCGTTCAACATCAACGGCGTCACACTCCACACCGCACTGTCCCTTCCAGTCACAAACAACAGCTACGGCAAGTCGACGGACATTCCACCGCCGCGGGGTTTTCAGCTCGAGAGCATGCGCACGCTCTGGAAACATGCGAGAGTACTCTTACTAGACGAGTTTGGCTTCGTCTCGGATGAACCCCTCGAAAGGATCGATCGACACCTGCGACTGGCCACCGGCAACGATGCGACCGCCTTCGGCGGCATCCACCTCGTCCTCTTCGGAGACCTCTACCAATTGCCACCGCCGCACGGCAAGCCCATCTTCGCGTGCGAGCGACACTGGACCCAGTTTCGATTGCTCGAACTGCAGGGGTATCAAAGAGCCGCACTGGACCCCGTGTGGGCAGAACTCCTGGCCAGGCTGCGCATCGGACAGTGGACAGAGCAGGACGTCCGCATCCTCCAGAGCAGAGTCAGCCGCCGCAGAAACGGCGTCCAGCCAGCTCGCAACGCCATGCACCTTCACGCCACGCGGGAGGCCGTCGCCGTGACCAACGCACGCATATTTCACCACCACACCGAGCAACAGCACACCCGCTGCTACGAATGTCCCTGCATCGACACGTACGCGAAAACCGGCGAAACCGCGGACCCAAGCAACAGCTACATCGATCCAGAAGACACCGGTGGACTCGAATCCCTACTCACAGTGGCGGTAGGCAGTCGAGTGATGTACAAACAAAACTGGGACGTGAGAGACGGCCTAGTCAACGGCGCCTGCGGAGAAGTCCAATCCGTCGAACTCCTAGACGACGACGTCACCACCATCTGGGTCAAATTCGACAAAGCCGGAAAGAGATGGTGCCACCTGCACCAGACGCCCGCCGTCGCCGTGGAACGACGAAGTGCCAACTATTGGGGGAAGAACGCCCAGTGGATCCAGAGACGACAGTTTCCCCTCGTACTCGCCCACGCCAGCACCATCCACAAAGCACAGGCAGTGACGCTGCCCGAAGGCATCTTTGCGGACCTGGGTCAAAGCATCAAAAACCCGGGCCAAGCGTACACGGCCTTGAGTCGCGTGCCCAAAATGTCTCTGGCCGCACTGAAGAAGTTCAACCGAAACAGTCTCATTTACAACAAGGACGCAGAGTGGGCGCTGACGACACTGTATTACGCGCAACACAAGCTGCCCACACACAGCAATGAAGGCATCGAAGCCCTCTGGCAAACCCTCGCTGCCGCACACGAAAAGCCGATCCACTACAAGAACAAACTCGCAAAGCTGCAGAAACCAGACATCTTGACCACTGACCTCTTCGCGCACAGGAAAAAGCCTGCAAAACTACAGAAGAAATCCGGCCCGCCCCCAGCTCTCAAGCCCGGCAGAACAAGTTGCTGCGACAAGCAGGCCAGCCAACCCGTCTCACGACCAACGCAACGAGCCAAAACCCGAACTGCCACGGCGACAACCACGAGAAGCTCAGCAATCTTTTTCCAAAAACAGCGACGAGCTCTGTGCGGATTGCACGCACTCAACAACGCTCTAGGTGACGACATCTTCGGAGAGGCAGACCTCGTCTACGCCGCCAATCAGTTTCTGCTCGAGAACCCGGAACTGCAAGACTGCACCGAGGACCACATGTCCGGCAACGGCTGGTTCTCGTCCGAGGTCCTCAGCACGGCACTCAATACGAAGGCCATGAGCCAGCACGACCGAGTGACCTGGCGGCTCGACCTCAGGCCACTAACAGCACCAGAAGACTTGACTAACTACGTGGGAGCCCTACAAAACCAGGACAACCAGCACTGGATTGCGTACAGATGCTTCAACGGCGAGTACACCAAGCTCGACTCACTCAAAGCCGGCCCCACGATCGTCAGCAGGAGCGCTTTCCTGCAAGAATTGCGGGAACATCCCCACACGTACGGCATTGCCAACATCTAGTGAGCCTGGCATTCAGCCGACACACACGCACGAGCAGGCAAGCAAAACACTGGAACCAGAAAACGTAGTAGTAGTAGTAGTAGTAGTAGTAGTAGTAGTAGTAGTAGTAGTAGTAGTAGTAGTAGTAGTAGTAGTAGTAGTAGTAGTAGTAATAGTAGTAGTTGTAATTGTAGTAGTTTAGTAGTAGTAGTAGTAGTAGTAGTAGTAGTAGTAGTAGTAGTAGTAGTAGTAAGTAGTAGTCGTAGTAGCAGTAGTAGTAGTAGTAGTAGTCAGTAGTAGTAGTAGTAGTAGTAGTAGTAGTAGTAGTAGTAGTAGTAGCAGTAGTAGTAATAGTAGTAGCTCACCGCACGGCCAGGCCCCTCCCGAAATGCCTTTCCCGCAAGCTTCCGCGCCCGAGACCAATTTAAGCTTAGTACTAGTAGTAGTAGTAGTAGTAGTAGTAGTAGTAGTAGTAGTAGTAGTAGTAGTAGTAGTAGTAGTAGTAGTAGTAGCTGGCCACTGCTGTCGCAAGTCGCGAGACTAGTAGTAATAATAGAACCAGTAGGATTAATGTATCAGTAGTAGTAGGTAGTAGTAGCATTGTAAGTGCCGAAAGCATCCTTTGTTTGACCATCCACATTCATCGTATGTTTTTGAGACTGTCTTCCTCCCACTTCTCATTAAACGGGTTTCCTACTGGCCATTGCTGTCGCCCATGGCCTTCTCATCCCCCGATGAATGCGCCGATGGCAAAGGGAAGAGCCCGCCGAGTAAGACCAAAAGGTCCAGGAAAGTTCAGTTGGCCGCCAATGCAGCAAAGGTAAGATAAGACGCAGAGTTTGTCCAGACACGTCACATTCATGTCTGTACGATGCGATGCGCCGTCGCACGTCCTCCGTGATGGCAGCTTTTGGCGGCTCACGCGCAAACAGGCGGACCTGTTCACCTGTGAACATCGCCGAATCATGGAAAGGTATCTCATCCGCAAAGTTGGTTCTTGGCCCAGTCAGGAAGAGAAAGCGCTGCAAAAGTCAGAACGACGCACGGAAAGACAAGCCCATGTCAAGGACACGGTGTTGTTTGGCGGCTTGCTGCTCGATCATCTGTCGCATTGGCATCCGTGCCGCGAGGGAATTGAGCTTGAACTGAACGCACCGAGTCTGGAAGATGCCTGGTCGCTTCTTCAGCTCAGCGGTACTTGTAAAGCGGGCGCTCGCTGCTTCCACTCGGCTGGGCTGCAAGCCCTGGTGCACCATCTCAGCAAAGTCAAACGGTGCTTAATGAGGCACACGGCCCGCTTGGAGGAGATCCTGCTGAACTGGCTGCAGATCGCCGACCGGACACTGACGGAATGGCCCCAGTTCTGATCCGCACCAGCACGTGCCGCGAGAGCACTTCGCATGTGGCGCGCCGAGCAACAAATACAGAAACAAACACTCGCCGCCTATTTGAATTGTCCCGGCCCGTTTCATTGCAGCCGTCGCCATGAAGTGCGCCGAAGACCCGAACCGACAAAAGAGAGGAAAGATCGCAAGCGCAATCTCGCCATTGTACTCAAGACCTCGCAAGAGCCTGTCTCGCGCCCCAAGGTTGACACTTGCACGACAATCGCCGCGATCATTGCGGCTCAAGAGACACCAGCGAAAAGCTAGCAGACTATCGCCAAACGATCCCCCCCCTTCCCGCTTCCCGTCTCGTCAAGCATAGTCTCGAATTTCGGAAGAACCGAGCGAACCTTCTCTGTGCGTCTACTATCTACATCAAATTCAGCATTATTACATCATCAATGTATGCTGCATCAACCTCGCGACGATGATACTCGTCGCTGTGATTTTGGATGATGATGGCAGATGTAGGGTGTACAAGCGATGGCGATGGTGTTCCACAAGAAACAAACGTTTGCGCACGATCTGGTTTATCCCGAATCGGAATGACGATCGTGATGCCGGTATTGGCAACTTTTGCATACCGCCAATTACCTGCCCGCCCTGCCCCTCCCCCTCCCGCTTCCCTTTCGGTTTCCCGCCCAACCTGCTTCGGCATATGTCTGCATCGACTGAGCAAAACCTATTCTTGCGCCTGGTGTTCCACAATAAAAAAACGTTTGCGTGTGATCTCGTTTATCCCGCATCGGAATGGTGATCGCGATACTGGTATTTGCAACTTGTCCACACTGCGAATTACGCGCCCGCCCTGCCCCCCCCCCCCCCTCGCTCCTCCTCTCCCGACATGCTTCGGTCTATAAGTTTGCATCGACAGAGCAAAACCCGTTTTTGTGCCTGGTATTCCACAAGAAACAAACGTTTGCACACGATTTTGTTCATCCCGCATCGGAATGACGATCGTGATACTGGTATTTGCAACTTGTGCACACCACCAATTACGCGCCCGCCCTGCCCCCCCCCCCATAGCCCCAGCCTCAGGACGTGAACTTGTTATGCGACTTGAAAGACACAATGATGCTACTGGTATCTGCAAGTTTCTCGACGGATTCGTGGTTTCCGGGGATCGGCAGGGGTCCCGCCTGGAGGCCCCCCTGCCTCCTGCTATGGATGCCTCTGGGTCGGTGGCCCGCCCCTGCCTCCTGCTGTGGATGCCTCTGGGTCGGTGGCCCGGCCCCTCCCTCCTGCTGTGGATACCGCTGGGTCGGTGGCCCGGCCCCTGCCTCCTGCTGTGGATGCCCCTGGGTCGGTGGCCGGGCCCTTGCCTCCTGCTGTGGATGCCTCTGGGTGGGTGGGGGACCTCGAAATCGGCCCTCCGGCCTAATAAAAACGCTATTCTATGAACAGAATTTGTCACCCAAAACACCCACCCCAAAATCCAGGAAATTTGGCTTTAAGTTTAGCAAACCCCCATTCAAGGTTTATTAATAAGGTTTTTCCAACCCCTATGGTTTAGCAAGGGTTTAGCAAACCCTAGGGTTTAGCAAACACCCATTCAAGGTTTATTAACTAATTTAGGGTTTAGCAAACCCTAGGGTTTAGCAAACCCCCCTTCAGGGTTTATAAAGGTTTATTTAAGGTTTAGCAACCCTAGAGTTCAGCAAACCCCCATTCAGGGTTTATTAAACCCTAGTTCAGGGTTTAACAAACCCTAGGGTTTAGCAAACCCCCATTCAGGGTTTATTAACGTAATTTATGGTTTGGCAAACCCTAGGGTTTAGAAAACCCCCATGCAGGGTACAGGACCTGAAGGGTTGTCCTAAACCCTGCAGGATCTGAAGGGTTTCCTTGAACCCTTCAGGACCTGTTTGTATTTTAGGCCCAGAATGGGGGGACCTCGAGATCGGCCCTCCGGCCTAATAAAAACGCTATTCTATGAACAGAATTTGTCACCCAAAACACCCACCCCAAAATCCAGGAAATTTGGCTTTAAGTTTAGCGAACCCCCATTCAAGGTTTATTAATAAGGTTTTTCCAAACCCTATGGTTTAGCAAGGGTTTAGCAAACCCTAGGGTTTAGCAAACACCCATTCAAGGTTTATTAACTAATTTAGGGTTTAGCAAACCCTAGGGTTTAGCAAACCCCCATTCATGGTTTATAAAGGTTTATTTAAGGTTTAGCAACCCTAGAGTTCAGCAAACCCCCATTCAGGGTTTATTAAACCCTAGTTCAGGGTTTAACAAACCCTAGGGTTTAGCAAACCCCCATTCAGGGTTTATTAACGTAATTTAGGGTTTGGCAAACCCTAGTGTTTAGAAAACCCCCATGCAGGGTACAGGACCTGAAGGGTTGTCCTAAACCCTGCAGGATCTGAAGGGTTTCCTTGAACCCTTCAGGACCTGTTTGTATTTTAGGCCCAGAATGGGGGGGACCTCGAGATCGGCCCGCCGGCCTAATAAAAACGCTATTCTATGAACAGAATTTGTCACCCAAAACACCCACCCCAAAATCCAGGAAATTTGGCTTGAAGTTTAGCAAACATTCAAGGTTTATTAATAAGGTTTTTCCAAACCCTGTGGTTTAGCAAACACCCATGCAAGGTTTATTAACTAATTTAGGGTTTAGCAAACCCTAGGGTGTAGCAAACACCCATGCAGAGTTTATTAACTAATTTAGGATTTAGCAAACCCTAGGGTTTAGCAAACCTCCATTCATGGTTTATTAATTCTTAATTTAATGTTTAGCAAACCCTAAGGTTTATTTAGGGTTTACCAACCCTAGAGTTCAGCAAACCCCCATTCAAGGTTTATTAAACCTTAATTCAGGGTTCAACAAACCCTAGGGTTTAGCAAACCCCCATTCAAGGTTTATTAACGTAATTTAGGGTTTAGCAAACCCTAGGGTTTAGCAAACCCCCATGCAGGGTTTATTTAACTCTAATTTAGGGTTTAGCAAACCCTAGGGATTAGCAAGCCCCCATTCAGGGTTAATTACCGAAAATTCAGGACCCGGAAACCCCCCAAAGCCCCCAAGAACCCAACACCCGATCCAAAAACCTAGAACCCTAGCCACCGAAACCCCAAAAAAACTTCGCGAACTCAAAAAAACCTCCAAAAACCCAAAAAAAACCTCCGAAAACCCTAAAAAAACCCCCAGTTTAATATTCTCAAAAACGCACCCCGCACACGAAGCAAGCTCAATAAACCCTAAACCCTAAACCCTAAACCCTAAACCCTAAACCCTAAACCCTAAACCCTAAACCCTAAACCCTAAACCCTAAACCCTAAACCCTAAACCCTAAACCCCTCAAGAGCAGGATAAATAGAAATTGTGTGATTTTCGTTTCGAGTTGCATCTACGCTAGCCCACACAAGGCCCGGCCCAGGCCACACCTTCTTTAGTATGCAATCCCATACGTGGTGGCCACCCCGCTCCTTTCCTTGCCGCCCCTCGCCCCCTGCCCCCATCCTCCCCATCCTCCCCCCCCCACCCACTTGCAGGGCTGCAGTTTCCACTTTCATCGTGGCACAGCTCCTGAAGCAGGCTGTCCTGCCGAGTGCAAAGTGTGCGTGATTGCCAGAGTTATGCTGAGCTGCTTTCCTGAGCTTGACGGTTTTACCTCATCAGCTGAGTTTGTTCGCAGCAGCCGAGTGCAAAGCAACAGCCCACAGCCGCACCCGCCCCGGCCCAGCCCACACCCGGCGCAGGGTCCAGCCCACACCCCAGCGACCCGGCCCCAGCCCACCCCCAGGAGGGCCCAGCCCACACTCGGGAGACCACCCAGCCCACACCCGGCCCAGCCCAGCCCACACCCGGACCAGCCGGCACACAGCCTCCATGCCACACCTTCTTTAGTATGCAATTCCACGTGCCCGATGAATTCAGGCCGCACCTTCTTTAGTATGCCATCCTCCTGTAATGGCTGGCTACACCCTTTGCAAGACACGCTGCGTGAACAAATACAAGCTTAGTGTTTCACCTCCCGAGCTTTCAGCCCCAGCACAGGAAAACAAGGCCGCTTCTTTCTTAGCGTCCCAGGAATCCAGGCCGCACCTTCTCTCCAGGTTTCACCCACACTGAGTGCACTCGATCAAGAGCCCCAGGTTTCAGAGAACTCCAAGTTTCACCTACTTGGTGCCTCGTGGAAAGCTCCAGGTTTCACCTACTCCAAGAGTTGTCGAGAGCTCCAGGTTTCACCTACTCTGGACACTCTCCATAGCTCCAGGTTTCACTTGCTCTCGGTGCACTCGATCAAGAGCTCCAGATTTCAGAGGGCTCCGCGTTTCACTTACTTTGTGCCTCTTGGAAAGCTGCAGGTTTCACTTACTCTGAGCGTTTTCGGGAGCTCCAAGGTTTCACCTCCTCCGAGCCTCCTCGAGAGCTCCAGGTTTCACGTACTGTGGGTGCACTCGATCGAGAGCTCCAAGTTTCAGAGAGCTCCAGTTTTCACTTACTTTGTGCCTCTTGGAAAGCTCCAGGTTTCACTTACTCTGAGTCAAGAGCTCCAGGTTTCACTTACTCTGGGTGCACTCGATCAAGAGCTCCAGGTTTCAGACAGCTCCATGTTTCACTTACTTTGCGCCTCTTGGAAAGCTCCAGGTTTCACTTAGTCCGAGTGTCTTCGAGCTCCAGGTTTCACTTACTCTGAGCCCTCTCGAGAGCTCCAGGTTTCATTTACTCTGGGTGCACTCGATCAAGAGCTCCAGGTTTCAGAGAGCTCCATGTTTCACTTACTTTGTGCCTCTTGGAAAGCTCCAGGTTTCACTTACTCCGAGTGTCTTCGAGCTCCAGGTTTCACTTGCTCTGAGCCCTCTCGAGAGCTCCAGGGTGCACTCGATCAAGAGCTCCAGGTTTCCCTAGTCTGGGCCCCTAGTTGCAAGGCGGGGTGCGGGGTGGGGGGTAGGGGGTGGGTGGAGGTAGGGTAGGGGGGTAGGGGGGGGGGGTGAGGGGGGGGGGAGGGTAGGGGAGGGTAGGAGGGGTAGGG